TTCACTGCAGCCTTGACCTGCTGGGCTCCGGCGATCCTTCTGCCTCAGCCTTCCAAGTAGATGGAACTACAGGCATGCACTACCATGCCCGGCTGATTTTTGATTTATTGTAGAGATGAGGTCTCTCCAAGTTGCCCGGGCAGGTCTCAAACTCACCTCAGCTTCCCAAGGCGTGGGATTACAGGCTGAGCCGCTGAGCCACCGAGCCCGACTTGAATCAAGTCTTACTCTGTCACCCAGGCTGGAGTGCAGTGGAACACTCACAGCCGCTGCAGCCTCAACCTACTGGGCTCAGACGATCCTTCCACCTCAGCCTTTCAAGTAGCTGGAACCACAGACGTACACCACCACGTCCAGCTAATTTTTTGATTTATTGTAGAGATGAGGTTTTACCATTGTCCAGGCTGGTCTCAAACCCCTGGACTCAGACAGTCCTCTTGCCTCTGCCTCCCAAAGTATTGGTATTACAGCCGTGAGCCACCACAACCGGCCATAAGTTTTGAATTTATTGTAGAGAAGAGACCTTTGAAGTTGCCCGGGCTGATCTCAAATGCCAGGGCTCAGACAATCTTATCACCTCAGCCTTCAAAATTGCTGGGATTTCAGGTGAGAGTCACTGTACTCAGCAAGTTTTTTTAATCTAAGGATTTATATAGACTATCTGGTCTATAATGTGAGAGTAGAAAACCTTAACCAAATGGGATCATTTCTGTCATTTCAGATACCCTGACCATAAATGATGACCAGTGTTTACTCCTGTCTGACACTGTTTGGGGAGCTCTCCGAGGTAACAAGGTGGGGCTGATGTAGAGAAAGAAAGAGAGAGAAGGCTGATGAGGGAAGGTTGGCTTTGGAAGACTGACTTTGGTGGAGTGAGGGACAGACCTGGGGACCTAGCAAATAGCCCCACTTGAGGAAGATTTATTTTTTTGAGTTGAAGTCTCACTCTGTTGCCCAGGCTGGAGTGCAGTGGCATGCTCATGGCCACTGTAGCTCTGATCTGCTGGGCTCATGCGATCCTTTCACCTCAGCCTTCCAAGTGACTGGAACTAGAGGTGCAAGCCACCACACCGGGCTAATTTTGGATTTATTGTAGAAACGAGGTCTTGCCAAGTTGCCCAGGCTGGTCTCAAACTCCTGGGCTCAGGCACTCCTCTTGCCTTTACCTCCCAAAGTACTGGGAATACAGGCATGAGCCACTGTGCCTGGCCAGGGCTCTCTTAAGATTCTTGTTAATTCAAGGCTAAGGAGATATGGATAAGAGATAGGTGGGGTTTGAAAGTTAGTAATATTGCTTGGAGGGGCACTCAGACCTCTTATTCTGCCACCTCACCAAATTACAGAGTAAAAATGGCTATTGGCTTCCTAGTATTCACTTTTCATAGTATTAGAACCATCAAGCCTATACTATATCCATTTTAGTTGTATACCAAACAATGTGCTGAGAACCTTCCAGATGGATGCATCCTTCCAGATGGATGCATCTCTTTTTCCACTCCCTGAGTCAGTCTCTACTTCTCACAGGCCTGGAGACTTTTAGCCAGCTTGTTTGGAAATCTGCTGAAGGCACGGTAAGTTTGGTCTCTCAAAAAGGGCTCCTTTTTTTTTTTTGAGTTGGGTCTCTCAAAAAGGGTTCCTTTTTTTTTTTTTTTCGAGTTGGAGTCTCACCTGTTGCTCACGGCCACCGCAGCCTCGACCTGCTTAACTTAGGCAATCCTTCCATCTCAGCCTTCCAAGTAGCTAGAACTACAGGTGTGCACCACCACGCCCAGCTAATTTTTTGATTTATCGTAGAGGTGAGGTCTCACTAAGTTGCCCAGGCATTCCTCTCACCTCGGCCTCCCAAAGTGCTGGGATTACAAGCATGAGCCACCATGCCTGGTTTAAAAAGGGCTCCTTTTTAATCTGTGGGGTTTTCTCCCAACGTCGAGATTCCTGGAAGAGTCTCTGTTGTCTTAGACAGGATCCTGTTGTCTTGAGATAACCCCGGCAGGGTTGTAGGAGTAGAGATATGGATGGAAAACTGGTTTGGTAGATTTGATTTGTTTGGAGTCATTTTAATTTGGTTCCCTGAGTCAATATTTTGGAGTGACCTGGAGGCCACACTTCTTTGAAGAAAACAAGCATGTTAGCAGGAACATCCAGAACACATAGGCTGAGTGGTGTATGGGACATTTGTATTTGGCTGGCATGAGACAGTTGCCCTCTGAGAAGGTGGCTGCTTGTGGCTGTTGATGTAGAGGTGGGAGGCATTTGGGGAGATGGCTACCCTGAGAACAGTCACAGAATGACTTTTCAGGGATCTCAGGAGAGTTTTCCTCTTCTCCCTGAACCCGCATAGTAAGCTCCGTTTGAATCCTGACACATTCAATGCTTGGTCCACACAGTTCTTTATCAACAAGACTGAGATTGAGGACTTCCCCCGCTTCCCTCACCGGGGCTTGCTGTTGGATACATCTCGCCATTACCTGCCGCTGTCTAGCATCCTGGACACTCTGGTACCCAGGCCTTAGGGCCTTCTTCACTTTTAGGGTTCTGGGGTGATGGGACAAGGGATAGATCAAGTTCCATATTCTTAAAGAGTTAGAGAGGAAATGTATGAAACTGTGAGCTCCTGGGAAAAATGTAGAAGATGACCTGCTCCAAGACTCAAAAAAATCAAGCGTAACTTAGACCTACCCTTCTGGCTTCTGTGGTCAATGTTCAGGCTGTTTCCAGCGATACAGAAGGTGTTTTGGGGACTAGGCATCTTTGACAGAGCTGACTTTACTTAGCTCAAGGTCATGGGAAAGAGATATTCAGAGCCTTAGCTGGGAAACCCCTTACTTTCTCCAGTTGATGTGCAGTCTTGCCTGACAATGCCAGTTCAGCTCCTGTGTCTGCCTTTTCTCTGGCTCCTATGGTGAAATCAAAGGAGTCAGCACATCTTGTGGCCTTAGCTTCTGAGATCTATGAGTTAAAGGGGTACTAAGTTCCCAGCAGGACACATCTGGGGCACAAATGGAAGGAGGAAGTAAATCTTCAGGCTTTGGGGGGCTTTTGGGAGACTCCAGAGCACCACAGTAGTTGCAGCCCACCTCTCAATGTGACCAGAAATTCATCTTCAGAAGAGAGACCCCTTGTGCCAGCCACCTTGAGATGTGTCCTGGGAAAAGAAGTGTATCCCAACACACTTCCCTCCATGTGAAGCAACCCCTGATGGGAAGGTTGTATTAACCCTAAAACATTTCACTGGAAGCTGTGGGGATGCCCCTGGGCCTGCCAGCCTGCCCAGCTTCCCAAGTTTGAGGTTGAAGTTGGAGAAGCTGTGATGGATTTATGGTGTGCTTTGCCCTACAGGACGTCATGGCGTATAATAAATTGAATGTGTTCCACTGGCATCTGGTAGATGACCCTTCCTTCCCATATGAGAGCTTCACTTTTCCAGAGCTCACTAGAAAGGTATGTCCTGATTTCACCCAGACTGAGTTTATGGGTTCATGTCTGAGCCTGGCAGTGGCTCGGCTGACGAAAACAATGGCTCTTATCCTAAGTAGCCAGTTTTAGGCAAATGTAGTGACTTAGGGGAAGGACACTGGATTTGGAGTGAGGAGACTTGAGTTCAAGTCCAGACTTTGCTGTTAATTTCCTTTGTGGCCTTTGGAAGATAAACTCCTGGTCTCCTTTTCTTTTTATTTACATTCTGTTAAATGGGCATAAAACCTGCCTTGTTTATCTCACTGACGTTATTATACTCAGATAAAAGAGTAGATGTGATAACTTGTGGGAAGTTTTGGTAAAGTAACCTGAACATGGACTCTGATACCAAAGGGCTATGGGCAGGACTTCTGCTGTCTGGGGAGTCCTGGGGCCATTTTGAGTATCACCTACTCTGCTAGGAAATGAGGACTTGAGGGGTATCTTGTGTCTTTCAGGGTTCCTACAACCCTGTCACCCACATCTACACAGCACAGGATGTGAAGGAAGTCATTGAATATGCACGTCTTCGGGGTATCCGTGTGCTCGCGGAGTTTGACACTCCTGGCCACACTTTGTCCTGGGGACCAGGTAAGAATAATGTCTGGGATTGGAGGGAGTCTGCTGATGATCCTCAGAGAGGGGCTTTAGTCTACTGACTGTTGGATGTGGCATCTGATGTCCCAGCCTTGGTCCTTGGAAGAATGTTTTCCATCAACCTCCACCAGGAAATTTAGACAGGAAGAACCTACTTTAGGCAGAGGAGGCCACTTCCTGTTAAAATATGTAAGGGCAGATTCTTCCCATATGCTCTTGCTTGTGGTTGTGCCCTAGAGTAGAGGCTGAGGATCAGACCCCCAGGGTAGAATCTGAAGGAAAGAAGCCCAAGGGTGGCCTTCAGAGGTTAGAGTCAGTCAGTCTGCCCACTCATTGTCTTCTGTACACTCTCACCCCTCAGTGAGTCCCCCGGACTGTGCCCCACAGCTGGCAAAAGGAAGGTTGAAAGAGGCCATCTGCCTTGTAGGAAGTTGAAGATATGTGTGGCTTCAGCCTCAGGAGGGGAGGACTCTTAGGAAACATAGAAATATTCTGGGTGATAGCTGACCTTACCACAGGAGCAGACAGAAGAAAGATTTTGCCTGTTTGACTGGACCAGGCTGTCCCTCTGCTTTCCTGCTTGAAGGCAGCATGAGGAGAGCAGCTTGTGGGAGCAGGGGTGGCACCTGCTGGAAGTATCGTATCAGAGCAGGAAGTACGTGGATGCTGACAGCTTTCTGGCTGGAACCCAGACTCTGCCTGTGACTGTGGATATATTTGTACATCTTTTGATAGTGACTAAACAGTGGTGACTGCCAGTGTCTATGAGTGCCTAAGTGTGACGTGTGTGATGTTATGAACCAACTGTCTTACTTTGTATGACTTATGTCCTTATGTGTAGGACTATGCAAAGTGGTCTGTGTACTTGTGACACTTGCCTGTGGTTCTCTGTGGCTTAGGTATCCCTGGACTGTTGACTCCCTGCTATTCTGGGTCTCAGCCCTCTGGCACCTTCGGGCCAGTGAATCCCAGCCTCAACAACACCTATGAGTTCATGAGCACTTTCTTCTTGGAGGTCAGCTCCGTCTTCCCGGATTTTTATCTTCACCTTGGAGGAGATGAGGTTGATTTCACCTGCTGGTATGAACTCTTTGATCTTCCCATCCTGGCCTGCTGAACTGCTTACTCAGAGTAGAGGTCAGCACCTGAGGGGCTGCCTGTCTCAGCTGCTGCCTGGGGTAACCTTGAGACTGCAGTCTACCTTAGCTTCCCTTGCTCAGGGCTTAGGCCTCCTGCTCAGGGCTTAGGCCTCCTGCTCAGGGCTTAGGCCTCCTGCACAGGGGCCCTGCCCGATTTTGGAGAGGCTGTTGATGTGACCATCTCCTCTACCCTCTCATGTCCTTGAGGCATTTACAGAAAAACCAGTTCTGAGCACAGAATTGTCCTGGAAAAATTCAGGATAGGGAAAAATAATCCCTCTTTATAAGACTGAATTACAATAGTCTGGTTGAAGAGTCAAGATGCAACATTGAAGATTAATATAGTACAGCATCTAATTAGTATTAAATTGTAAAGTCCATGCCATCAGATCTAGAGGGTAAAGGCCTTTGAGAAGAAGGCACTGGGGATGGTTCTGTGGAGAGCATTCCAGAAGGAAGACAGTGGGAGCAGATATAGACGTGGAAAGGCAAGGGCAGCAGGCTTGTCCTCTACCTGGAAGAGCAGAGAGGGAAGCCAGAACCCAGAGTGCTGGAGTCGGGCTGAGGATTCCCGGTTGCAGTCCCCAGGGGGATTCACGGCTCTGTCCACAGCCCCATTCACACGGCTCACTTGGCCACACATTCCACGTTTAGGGCTTCTGAGATTGTTGGTTATTTAGCTTTTCAGGTGAGAAAAGGAAGATGTGGGAGGTAGGGTGACTGATACCCGGGTTTAGGTTTCTAGGATGTTGAAAACTTAATCTTCGTTTTCTCCTGGGATTCAGGAAGTCCAACCCAGATATCCAGGACTTCATGAAGAAGAAAGGCTTTGGTGATGACTTCAAGCAGCTGGAGTCCTTCTATATTCAGACGTGAGGAAGGAAGGGGGCTGTCCCTCACTCCGGTGGGGTCCTCACTTTCCATACCAGGGTCTGGCCCTGCATTTCCACTCTCTAGGCCCCTGAAGGGTTCTTCTGTCCTGTCCTTTCAGGTTTGGAGTGGTTAGTTCCCTTGCCCAGGGAAGATACTGACTGCTCAGTCAGGAACTGGCCCCCGGCCAGGCTCAAGCCCTAGAGCCTAGAGCCCATCTGAACTGAACAGACACTTTCTTGACACTCCTCTCCTCTCCAGGCTGCTGGATATCGTCTCTTCTTACGGCAAGGGCTATGTGGTGTGGCAGGAGGTGTTTGACAATAAAGTCAAGGTGAGCTGGGGCAGAGAAGAGGAGCCCCTGGCAGTACCTCCCCCTGGTTTCCCAGCCCTCCTTGTCTCTGCAAAGACTGATCCTCCTGCTTTGACAGGCCTTACAAATGTTTAGAGCACTCTTTTCCCTGTATACAAGCTGCAGAGTTGTAAGCCCTGGATTTACATGTCAGAGCCTCTGTCTTCCCTCACTACAAACTGATCAAGAGGTACATCTGGCCAGGTGTGGTGACTCATGCCTGTAATCCCAGCACTTTGGGAGACCAGGGTGGGAGAATTGCTTGAGTTCAGGAGTTCTAGAGCAGCCTCGGCAACACAGACCTCAATTCTACAAAAAATTTAAAATACAAAAATTAGCAAGGTATGGTGGTATGTGCCTGTAGTCCCAGCTACCAGGGAGGCTGAGGTGGGTGGATTACATGATCTCAGGATGTCAAGGCTATAGTGATCCTGAATTGTGCCATTGCACTTCACCCTAGGCAACAGAGTAAGACCCTGTCTTCAAAGAAAACAAAACAAAAACAACTATTTCTACTCTTGGGTTACTTGGGATTCCTGAAACTGACATGATAGGCTGGATTTTCCTTCCTGAGTCACATACCAGGGTCTTCTGGGTCTCTGGGAGCAGGGCTACCTTCTTCATTTTTTTTCTTCATTGTTGAACAGTAAGATCCCAGCTTCCTGTCACATGTAGGGGATCTGCAGGAACCTTGTATCATCCCAGAAACATTTGGAAACTCTTGGACATAGTAGCTCCTGGGCCCTACGATTTGCGTCTCTTAACTTACAACCATATTAGTAGCTGTGTGTACAGGGGGGCTGCAGAGTGATGGGGACTTGGAGAGGGACAGGTGTCTCTCAGGGCCTGTGGGCTCCTCGGCCTCTGTGCTGAGGTGTGAGCTCAATGGTTAGGAGTCATAGAGACACAGTTGACTGGCTGCTGGGAAAGAGAGAACATATACCCCTGGACCTAGGCTGCCTGCATATGAATCTCTTGAGCTCTTTGCTATTGCTGCCATTTAACCTTTTGTGATAGGTTCGGCCAGACACAGTCATTCAGGTGTGGCGAGAAGAGACTCCAGTAAGCTACATGAAGGAGCTGGAGCTGATCACCAAGGCTGGCTTCCGGGCCCTACTCTCTGCCCCCTGGTATCTGAACCGTATATCTTATGGCCCTGACTGGAAGGATTTCTACCTAGTGGAGCCCCTGGCATTTGAAGGTGAAAGCAGGGAGCTCCACTTGCTGACCAGAGGAGGCTAGGCTAGGGCTTGGGGATAAAGCCTCTGGGCCAGATGTTGCAGGTCAGGAAATGCAGCGACCCCCCTGAGGAGAGGGTCGTCTTGGGAAGGTGGTTGAAGGGGAGCCCTAGAGTCATCAACCCCGCCCCCCCCCCCCCCCCCCCTGGCCTGCCACTCCTCATTTTCTCCCAGGTACCCCTGAGCAGAAGGCTCTGGTGATTGGTGGAGAGGCCTGTATGTGGGGAGAGTATGTGGACAATACAAACCTGGTCCCCAGGCTCTGGTAAGGCTTTTCTGGGGGACATAGAGGATTGGGCCTGCAGGCAGGGGTTCTCTCTTACAGACTGAACCCCACATAGCACCCTCCAGACTAGTACCCTCCCCTCAGGCCTGAAAAAAGAGGCTATGCACAGGCCTTCTGCAGATTTGTGTGTAATACTTCACACGTGACTTCCATGTATGTGCCTCCATCCACCCAGTAGGTGTGCAGGGTACTGTTAGCCCCACTTCACAGACAGAGATAATGAGGCCTGGAGAACACAGGTGACTTATTCTGAATCTAACACTGGGAGGCCCTGATTCCCGTGATAATATTTCCCTCTGCTGTTTCCTCAGCAGCCTTACGAGGCATGGCTGGGTGTGCAAAGGTTACATTTTAAGGACGTCTGTTGTCATTACCAGTTAATGACACCTTTAAGGCTTTGGGAGAGGAAGAGTATGGGATTACTAGCCACACATTAATGAAGATGGAGCTGGTCCCTGAAACTCTCTGGGACCTGTTCTGTCTGGCTGTGGCTCTGAACAGATTTTGGTCACTCCCCCGGCTCTGAGCTAGTCCAGGTCTAGACAAGTGGCAGCAACCTATGGATGTCCAGCGCCTTTGCAGAGAACACAGGACCCAACTTGGAACATGCCTCTCTCCTCCAGGCCCAGAGCAGGGGCTGTTGCTGAGAGGCTGTGGAGCAGCCAGTTGAGTGTTGACCTGCAATTTGCCTATCTGCGTTTGTCGTACTTCCGCTGCGAGTTGCTGAGGTAAGCGGGCTATGTGGCCTTTTAAGGTGAGTAGGGCAGATCAGGGCTTGGGACCCCTTGCTGAGAGGAAAAGAATGGTGAAAACAGCTAACACTTAGAGAGGTTTACAGCCGGCCCTTCAACCAACTGTGAGCGAATATATTCAGAAACAAGTAAATAAAAGAACGGTGATACAATAAGAATTAATACAAATAAAAATATAACAACCATCTATGTAGCATTTATATTATATTAGGTATTTATAAGTGATCTAGAGATGACTTAATGTACGTGGAAGGTTGTCCTTGGGTTTTATGCAAGTACTGCACCATTTTACACCAAGGACTTGAGCAGCCTTGGGTTTGGGTATCCACTGGGGTCCTGAAACAAGTCCCTCACAGATACTGACTGACGACTGTACTGTGTGGCAAACACTGTGCTAAGCCCTTTATGGGCGTTGTCTTGACTCTTCACCACAATCCCATAAAGTAAGTATCTTTTTATCTTTGTTTAGAGAGAGATGGCTAAAACACAGAGATGCCAAGTACCTTGCCCAGAATCACTAAGAATCAGGATTTGAACCAAGCCAACTTTCATGGGCTCTTATGACACCTCCGATTCTGTTGAGGCTGTGCCTGTGTCATTTCCCTGATTTCTTCACTGCCCAGGTCTTGAGAACTTGGGGGATATGGCTCCATGTAGAGCACTGTCCTGGGCCAAGAGTCAAGCATCATGGGGTCTAAGCCTTGACAGTAATTCACTGGGTGACTTTGAGCTGGTTCTCCAAGCATGTTCTTTATTTGGATAATAAGGGAAGCATGCCTGGAGGGCTAAGGAGATTGACCAGGTCTTGGAACTTGTGAGTCTGAGGCCTAAGGATGAGAGTTCATGCCCAGGTGCATGGACTGGACAGTGCCTCAGTCTCTTCTGCCACCATATTGACAGTGTTTCAGAGCTGGCAACTGTGGGGTCTGAGTAGGACAAGAGGCTACCTCTTAGGCCTCTACCTCTTTTCTAAAGGGACTGAGTTATTTGAGGCTGGGGTACAGGATCAGGCAGGATAGAAAGAGAGAGGGGCTCCGCAAAGCTCCTGGGTCTCACTGTATCAAAATCACCCTGAGCACTTGTTCAGCTTGCAGATCCCCAGTACTGCCTCACCTCAGGCGAGATTCTCTGGACTTGAGCTCCCCTAGTACTTTTGGTTACAATGACAGTTTGGAAGTCACTGAGATGGGAAAGGGGAGACTGTTGACTGTGGTTGAGGCACAGACTGTAGCTGGGGCCTAAGAGTGACACCTTCTGAGGGGCTCATCTTGCCATTTCTTCCTGTCCTCTTGCAGGCGAGGTGTCCAGGCCCAGCCCCTCAATGTAGGCTACTGTGAGCAGGAGTTTGAAGAGACCTGAGTCAGCGCAGCCCCAGGCACCAAAGAGGGTGCTGGCCCTAGGAGAGTGATAGTGGGGCCAGGCTTCACTGCATCCCGGCCGGTGGACGGAGCCCCTTGCCCACATGGCCCTGTGCTTGGAGAAAAGGGGGCTGGTGCTGGCACTGGCGTCCAATAAAGAGCGATGTGGTATTTTTCTGTCATGAACTTGGATCGCCTGTGTAAGAAAAAAATGTGACTGTCCCTAGGATAAGGGGGCAGCCGGTACTGGCATTCTGTTCTTGAGAGGGATAGAGCCCATGGCTCAGTACCTGTCCTGGAGGAGTCTTATCAGTTGAGAGTAGGGAATGATACCTGTGGCCTTTGTGCTTCTCTGCTGACCCTGTGAGTTCTGTCACTCCACTCCCACCCCCAAGCATGTTCCTCACCACAAACCTGCCCCACCTTCAGCTTGGTCACTGCTCTTCCATGTCACGCCTCCAAGACATCTGTATCTGGAAGACAGTGACACTGTAGAGGCCTGGAGGGACTCTGGACAGCGGTGAGGGCTCCAGACCCACCTGGGCACAGAACAACCCCTCCCCTGTGCAGGGCCACACACCTCTTTCCCCAGAGCTGCTGTTCTTTGGGTTTCATGCTGCTTTGGTTTCATACAGTCAATGCATTTCAGTTTCGTATGTTACTTAAATATTATTGAACATGCACTGTAGTCTAAGCACTGTGGTAAAGTGTCAGATTTAAAGAACTCAGGCCCTAGTCAATTCCAGAATGATCAGGCAGCTTCCACCCCCACCCCCACAACCCTTTTTCAGCCCAAAGCTGCTTCTCAGGGAATGGATGGCACAGCTGGGACATACCCCTGTGGGGCCAGGAGGTGGGCATGGGACTCTGGAAGAGGATCTTGTGACTGATTTTTCTCTAAGAGGAAATGTCTCTTGGTGGACCCAGACTATCCCTGGTGGTTTCTTGGGCAGAAGTGATATGAGCTCAGAGGCTGGGGCAGTAGTGGACCATAGCCATTCTGCTAAGTTCTTTTGCCTGTTCTTGGGCTTGGAGGACAATGATGAGGGCCCAGACATTTCTTTCAGAAGCTTCTGGTGTGGACACAGAAACCTGGGCAAGGCAGGGCTGAGAGGGACCCTAGTAAAACTCAGCTCTTAAACACCACCCTTCAGTCCCTGGATCATGTTCCTTTGGGGGCCCAGTTGAAGGTGGACCAGCCCTGCCTTCTTGTGCTGTTTCTGTAGGGACAGGACAGGCATCTGTCAGCAGAATCCTCTTGAGATTTTCACATAGTACAGCCCTGCCCAGGGCTCTGGCCAGGAGATGCCAGAGCTGAGGCACCCCCACAGGAGCCCCCTTCTCTCCATGACCAAGAAGCCTGTGGGTGGACCTAGGCAAGGGCCCTGCACACATGCTGCTGCACTTCGCATCCCTCTACCTCCCTCCTAGGCACAATCAAATGTTGACATCGGGCAAATATTAAAAAGAGCAGACACAAGTTGTAAGTTTCAAGTCAAGAAGGCAAAGATAGTGAAAACACGCGCGTTAAAGCAGAAAGGTCCTGTGATTGTAAACATTTTCTTTAATGTTATTTTACCAATAAAATTAACGTGACCTGGTCCAGACCATCAGTGGTAGGGCATGCTGTTCCCTACCCTCATCATTGCTCCTCATTGTTCTACCGATATGAGAGCTTTTACCCAAAGATCATTAGACCTCAAAATGCTGACAGATCAGAGGCCTCCCCGATCACCCAGTCTGTTCAGTGTGCAGAGTAAGTTTCCCCAACTCTCCTCGATTTACCTGGGCTGTGAACCTCTAGCCCACCCTGTGGAGGTCAAGACTCCTGAGGACTGCTTGTGTTCTGTTCACCACCAGGGGGCAGGAAAGTGCCCAGACTGATGTCCTGGCTCCAGTTGGCCTAGGAGCAGAGTCCTACCTAGCCCAGCCCATGCTCTCCTCAGAATCTGTTGAGGCAAAGCTGGCCTTGCGGGTATAAAAGTCAAGGAGTGAACAGAGGCCTGGGGAACCTTCAGCCTCCCCTCTCCCTGGTGGGAGTTGAGACTGCATGCCAGGGACCCTCCCTGGGGAATCTCATAAAGTGATGTAACTAGTGTTTTTAGGTGCACCTCAGTGGATTACCATAGAGATAGGGTGTCACCACAGCACTAAGAGATCAGAGTCAGGCCCCTAGACTTGTGGGATGGGAGAGTGTGATGAAAGCCGAAATGATCATGGCAAAGGGCGAAACAAATTATAATGACAGAATTTATTTTTTATTAACGCAGTTGTACATGCCTTGTGGCAGCATTCCTAACACTCTAAAATCGAGGTTTGTAAGTTTTTGCCAGTGTCTTTTGTAAGATTAATCAACATGAGGCATGGCAGTTTATCATATCCTTTTTTTCCGCTAAGAAAGAAAATAAGTAGAAATTGGGTGCTTTGTTTATTAAAATCATTATTTTATAAATAAGTTCTGAAAGGCTGAAAATTAATATATTTCCTATATTTTATGCATAATCTGTAAGTGCACATGTTAACTAATTTCTTTTTTTTTTGAGTTGGAATCTCACTATGTCTTCTAGGCTGGAGTGCAGTAACACGCTCACAGTCATCCCAGCATTGACCTGCTGGGCTCAGGCAATCCTTCTGCCTCAGCCTTCCAAGTAGCTGGAAGTACAGGAGCACACTATCATGCCTAGCTAATTCTTTTATTTATTGTAGAGATGAGGTCTTGCCAGGTTGCCCAGGCTGTTCTCAAACCTGTGGGCTCAGGCAATCCTCTCACCTTACCCTCCCGTAGTGCTGGTATTACAGGCTTGAGCCACCACGCCTGGACAGCTAATTTCAGTGAAAAGTTTACTTGTTGAATTTTTTGTGCCTATCCACTCTAACTGTAAACCCTGAAAGTCCTCATAGTTGTTTTGAAAAACCCTTTTTGAAGCCGTCCTTTTTGAAGCCGTCCTTTTTGTGTGTGTGTTTCTGTGTTTTTCTTTTTTTTTCCCCCGAGTCAAAGTCTCACTCTGTTGCCCAGGCTGGAGTGCAGTGGCACCCTCATGGCCACTGCAGCCTCGACCTGCTGGGTTCAGGTGATCCTTCTGTCTCAGCCTTCCAAGTAGCTGGGAACACGGATGTGCACCACCATGCCCGGCTAATTTTTTGATTTAATGTAGAGACGAGATCTTGCCAAGTTGCCCAAGCTGGTCTCGAACCCCTGGGCTCAGGCAATCCTATTACCTCTGCCTCCCAAAGTGCTGGGATTACAGGCGTGAGCCACTGTGCCTGGCCTTCTGTATTTTTCAATGGAATTTTAAAAAATTAAAATGTCCAGGAACGTTGTTTTTCCCCAAAGTAATTACAGTACTGTAACCACAGCCATGTTAAGTATGACCTGCCCTAGTCAATACTGTGTTTTTTAATGATTTCAGGTATTTCAAACAAAGCAATAGTAAAATAGCAGTATAACCATTCAGCTGTGTATGACAGTCCTGTTTGCTTCAGATTTATTTTCTGTGTGTGTGTGTGTGTGTGTGTGTTGTAGTCTCACTCTGTCACCCCAGGCTGGAGTGCAGTGGCACACTCATGACGACCACAGCCTCAACCTGCTGAGCTCAGACAATCCTTCTGCCTGAGACTTCCAAGTAAGCTGGGACTACAGGCGCCTGCCACCAAGCCCAGCTGTTTTTTGTTTTTTGTTTTTATTGTAGAGACAGAGTCTTGGCAAGTTGCCCAGGCTGGTCTCGAACCCATGGGCTTAGACAATCCTCTCACCTCCTTCCAAAGTGCTGGGATTACAGGTGTGAGCCACCAAACCCAGCCAGATTTGTTTTCTTAAGGAGATGAAACACATGTGCTCCCTCCCTAGTCCTGTTCTCTGCCTTCCCCAAAAGCAACTGTTCTCCGGAACTTACTTTAAGTATTTCCTCTGTAGTTTCTGATGCTTAGCTATGATATATTTTCACTGTTTTGGAAGCTGCTCAACAAAGGAGGTGTATGTGTGTGTGAGGAGGTGACTGCGGCCAGTGCGGAGGGAGGGTCCTGTGCTCTGTGGGTGCTGCAGAGTGTGACAGCATGTGGTGAGTGTCTGGATGATCTGTGGAAGAGGACATTTGAACATAGAAATTCAGAGAAAGTTGCCAATGTTTATCTAGACTCGAGTCATAAATCTGAAAGGAGATGGATTTGGAGATCTACTGGGTGGCACAAGTACGTGGTCACCTCTGGGCCTGCTGTGTCAAGCACTGCCTGCGACGAGCACTTTGCTGGACATTGACTTACTTGGTCTTTGCCCTAATCGAAGTAGTGTCAATGTTATCCTCAATTAACAGATAAGGAAACAGACACAGGAAGTTTGAGTGACTCGTATGTGGTTACACAGCTATGCTGGGTCAGCATTTGTACTCAGAGATGCTCAACTACTTGACAGCCTCCTACTGCCACCAGCCACTGCCACACTGCCCTAGACGTCCTCCTCCTCTTGGACACCAAATGCTGACATATGACAATACTGAAGGCGGTGTGACTGTTTCTGGACTCGAGCCCATTTCCTCCCCATAATTATTTTTATATTTTATTTTAAAGATGTGGGGTACAATTCAGGATTAGGTATACAAGTGGACATCGTACAGGTAAAGTTTGGGCCTCCCTTTTGTTTCCACTTTGCCTGGTTTGAGATCGGGCACCCTTATTAATGTTGTGTTACCCCTCCATTTATTTATTTTTACAGTTTGCTTGGATACATTTCTTTTTTCCTTTTTCTTCCATTATCTTTAAACAAAACTAAAACCTCTCAGTTCTGCTTTTCTCAGTCAAGTTCCTGAAACATTTGGAAGTTTGTCTCTATTTCTCGACTTCACATTCAGACCTCAGGACCCTGCAGCTGGGCTTCTGTCCTCATGACGGCCGCTGTCACTAGGGCCAACATCAACGTACATGGTGCCACGTCAAGGCAACTAAATTTTTCAGTAGTAAGTAAATAGGCCTCCCAGCACTTTGGGAGGCCGAGGCAGGAGACTCATTTGAGCCTAGGAGTTCATGACCAGCCTGGGGTGCATAGTGAGACCTCCTTATCTCTACAATAAATAAAAAAATTAGGTAGGCATGGTGGAGTGCACCTGTAGCCCAGATACTCGAGGGACTGAGGTGGGAAGATCACCAGAGCCCAGAAGGTAGAGGCTGCAGTGAGCCGTATCACTGGGTGACAGAGTGAGACTCCAACCA